TTTTCCACCTGTCCATCCATCTCAGAGCTCTGACCTAGCGGTGCCAACCACAGCCAGCCAGTCACCAAGCACTGTGGATGTGCCAAACTCCTCTTCTCAGGAGAGCAGCTTTAACGGGAATGCTCCTGTCTGCCTTCCTTCTGAAACCTCTTTCACTGATTCTCTCCAGACGTCTTCGGTGAGAATAACCAAAGAGATAATACACCTTAACACAAGGCTGTGTTTTTTTTTTAAATAATGTCTCTTGTATTAATGCCCGTTTTAGCATAACCCACGTGTGACCTGAACCGGCTTGTGTGTGGTGTGAGCAGCGAGACCATTTTCTAGTTGAGTGACAGGTCACAAGCAGCAACGAACAGAAGCAGGTTGCAGCATTAGCACTCCCAGGACACTCTCACTCTAAGATACAGTGGGGGTGGATGAGGAAGGCCGAGAAATTCCTGGATTTGTCTCAAAACGTTGTGGTGTAAGTTGGAGGAAGGGAAAGGCAGAGATTTTTAAGAAAAAGTTGTGCAAGATGTTGGTTTCTGAGCACTGGTCCATGCTCTGTCATGGATTATGTTGGGCTTTTGTCACAGCTGCTCCAGACACTCTGCCCCTGCCTTTGCAGTGAGCCTCTGCTCCAGTTATCAGTGTGATATAACTGCCTGCCTCTCCCATGCATCTGTGCATAGCCTGCTGCTGACTTGAGGATTTAAATGCTGGCCTTCCTTTTGCAAGATGCCTGAGGTCCACTGCTGGCGAGAGGGCTTGCTGTTGAAGGGGACGTGTCAGCACGCAGAACTGCTTAGCTCATTCAGAGATACTAGTCCAATAAGCTGATACAACTGCCCAAACAGGGTGGGTGTCATGAGTTTTAGTTCCTAAATCTGTTGAATGTGCAGGTTTGCACATTGTAGCTGCACTTTTGAACAAATTATTTTCAGAGCAGTTCCTCCTTCACAGGCCTGGGAAGACCAGAATTCAGGATTCTGTGTTTCCTGCCCCAAAAACTGATGAAGTCGAAACAGTCAACACAGTGCCCGCAAGGAGTGCTCAACCGTTTGGAGCAGGGGACACGTTCCTTAATTCAGGGATTGTCAAGTCATTGCAAAACCAGTTTTCAGGTTCTGCTTCATTAGTCTAGTGGTGGCAGGATGCTATTCAGGGTACAGTAGCCTCCAGTCTGACTGAGTCTTGTATTGTAGGTAGGGTCTCACCTGTGTCTGTAATGACGTTTCCAAGTTGCGTAGCCTGGTTTGAGAGCACAGTGCAGTCTCCTCTTTACTACAAAACTTAGCCACGTTGACTGTGGCTGGGCTGTAGATCATGGTAGCTAGGTTCTGCTGTGGCACAGTTGGGATTTTTTGTTTGAAGCTTTAAGGATTCAACATCTGTATCTCTGAAGTCTGCCTTTGTGTTTTGCTATGTTGCAGTCTCACTTTGAGCCTATGGCTAGCCATCAGAAAGCAGTTGGCTCTGCTCTTCTGCTCAGGGTCTTCTGGATAGTCCTCATGAATTGGAAAATAATAATCTCAGTGAAAACACAGAGCCAACGGACAGTGGTACCAGCCTCCCATCCAAGCCAAGGTTCCCAGTCAGGTTGCAGCAGGTGCTGACAGATCCTCCGTTCCGGGCACTGGCCAGGCATGTTCACTTGCACACATTTCTAACACTGAGTGCTGGGCACGGGGCATGGTCACCTATTTCCTTTCGTCCTGTTTCCCGTAGAGTGAAAACGCCAGTGAGGATGCTGGTGAGGGTGAATACGTCAATCTGTATTCCTCTGGCCAAAGCAACGGGGAACTCCCTCTCTCTGAAGGAGTAAGTAACCTGGAGAAGGCCAAACACTGGGAAGGGGCTGCTCAGTGCATGCGATTCACACCGGGGACAACACGCTCATAAGCCTTTCCTGCATATTGTAGAGGTTCCACGTTTCTTCCAGTGAACAGACCCCTTTGCTGCTTGCCCATCCTTGGTTTTCTGTGTGCAGGGGAGTCTTGATTTGGATGAGGAGTGGATGGCACTTGCTTAGCTTTGGAGGTTGTAGTGAACATGTTAAGAACACAGGGGCTGCATTTCTTTCTGAGCTCTTCCATGTGCTTTGCTATTTGTCTAGAGCTTCTTGCAGGAGAGTGTTTTTTCCAGAAAGCTACAATCTGGGAGCTGTGCAGCAGCCTTATCAGTGCTAGTTAGGTGCTTCTATTTATAACTGCGTTGGCTTTATTTTTTTTAATTGAGCCTTGTGTTTATAAAGTGCTGTCACCTTGGGCATCCCATATTAAACCTTATAGACACAGATTGTTCCCTTCTCCTCTGCACAGAGCATATGTTAGTCATTTCCTGCAGCGGGCAGGTGCCTGTGAGTGCTTTTACTAGTTGACTTCTATATGCCTCAAGAGATGGGGCTCCTCTCTGGTCTCTTCAGTAGATAGATCTGGGTATCTTCTGCTCTTGTAGATAGTTGAGTTAGTTCTTACCTTTGAAAATCAAGGACTTGACAGCATTTTTCACTGCACATAGCTCAGCAAAATGCTGTAGGTACTTCAGAAGGCCAGACTCAGTGGTACATTTTCAAGGCTGAATCTGAATTGTAGAAAGGTGGCATGAGTTCTCTAGGTTTGGTGTGTTGAACATCCAAAGATCACTTGGAAGGGTTTTAAATAGCAATAATCTACAGCACTGTAGGGTTAATGCTCTCGTTTGTCATTCATGGTCGTTTTCCTCCTTAATAAATGGCTAATGTAAGATGCTGTGTGTTTTTTTTTCCTTTGAACTCTCTACCTGCTGTTACATGCCGAATGTTCAGATTGTTCTGCTTTCTTAGATTAGCATCATTTCCACAGCAGTGCATCACAATGTGGAAGCATTGTGTCACTGTCTAAACTCCTCGGAGAGAAAAGAGGCAGGGAAGGGGAGGCCATTATTAAAGCCACATACTCTGACAGGCTGGACTTTGTGGGGCAGCTGTATGTGGGGAGGAATTAGTAGGGGAACTGGACTTGAACGGGGATGTTTAGAGCTGGTGTAGAATACACGTAGCTCAACATAAGGCAAGTGCATTTCAACTGCAAGGGCTGATTAAAAAGGTTGAGGGAAGGTTTGTGTAAGATGCATGCTGACAGCTGACTTGTGCATTATATAACGTTCAGCATCATTTCACAGCCTCAAAAGCAAACAATAATAATTACATTAAAGTCTCCAGAGATGCTTCCAAATTTCCTGCCTAATTAAGTTCCACACGGTCCTGGCCCATGGCATTGACTCGCATCACCTTCTAATTGCTCCATAGGAATTGACAATAAAGGGCTTTGTAGAGGCAGCAAGGCTGTGAGTGCGAGACCAGCTGCAACGCAGGGATCCTATGTAGTGATCAAAGGTTTCTTTCTCTTCCCAGGAATCTCCTGCTGTCAAAGACGGCCACTCCAAAGACTCCACTTCAAATAGCAGTGCCACTGGGAAGGAAAGCCGAGACGGTGGTGAGAGGTGGGCTTGACCATCATGTAGAGCTCCCCCTGCTCCGCAAGACAGCAGAGCATCCACAGTGTGATTTTTACCCTTACCACTCCCAAACTAGTCCTATGTTATTTCATGTTTTGCCTCCAGCTGGCTAGACACCATCATGGCTGTTGGCCTGTTATGTTACTCAAGATTAGGGGGAACACAGGACTAACTGAAGAGAATATAAGCCGTGCTGGGCAATTTAACTAACTCAGCGAGCCCAAGAACTGCCATGCTAGTTGCTAGTCCATCTAGTTCTTTAGTCCAACACTGACAGTGTCTAGTCCTAGCTGTTTGAGGGGAGGGGTGCCAGGACCCAAGAATGTCCCCTTTGGCCCCTTCCACACATCCAGAGATACAAAGTACCTGGGCGGGCGTAAAGCCTACAATGTACAAAGAGAAGAGGAGATGAGGGCCTTGGTCACTGCACTTAGAAACCATCCAAGGGGAGGCTCTAGTTATGCAGAATTTCTTCTCCAACATCCCTAAGTTGACAGAATCACTTAGCTTCATGGTTCTTGTGCTGTACATGAGTGAGCAAACAATATGAGGAGATGCTGAAAGGTGCATTCATGCTTCATGCAGCACAATCCTGTTAGCCAGGAATGCAGCCAGATAAGCATTCAGTTCCTGAACGGTTCATCTCAATCATGTCTCCTTTCCTAGGGATGCACAAAGCAATGACCTTAGACCTAGACACTCGGGTTCAGTTGTAGAGGGCACCCCTGTCTTTGGGAGTCTCAGACTTGCCCCACCCTCTGATCTTTGTAGCAAAGGCCTAAACACTGCTTCCCTGCTCGTGTGGGGCAGGACACTGATGGTTCCTTGCTTGTCTTCCAGGCAGCAGATGTCACCAGATGCCTTGGAATCGTCACAGTTGGAGGAGGAGGTAGATGAGCTGTCCCTGATTGACCACAATGAAATTATGGCAAGGCTAACACTGAAGCAGGAGGTACGTGCCTCAAAGAGTCACTTTCATGCTTCTCAGTTTGTGCTTTGATAAAGCCTGATCGACCATGAGTGCAGAGACAGAGAATCAAATGAGCAGCCTGTGTACGAGTTAATAAGAAAATGGAGTTACAGAGCAGTTGCATGCAGCTTCAGGTGCATAAATTGTCTTGAAAGCAGATGAGACCCCAGCACAAAAATGGAACATTATTGAACCAAAAGTTTATTAAAGCCTGGGCACTCTCTCTCTTAAGACTGCCCTGTCCTCATACTCTCCACCACCAGCATGCCGCAGCATCTCAGGTGTGATAGCTGAGAGTCTCAGTATGAGAAACTGAGCACAGATTATTGCTGCTGCCTTTCAAACCTGAAGGATGGGGAATGCTGTTCCAGGAATGCTTTCAGATTCCAAATGTCTAAAAGGCCTCAAAAGTGTGAGCAAGCTATTCAGCAAAGTGGCTGTCCCTGCATTTGAGAAATGGCTCTGTCTGACCCTCTGTGCACTTCCAGACCTCTTTGCTCACTTGATGATATTCCAGCCCAAGCTGTCTCTAACAGAGCTTGAAGGAACACACAAGGTCTTTGAAGCTTTCAGACTATCAAGGGCCAGTCTGGAAAATGGAGACAATATATCATTTGCCGGAACTTATAGGAGTGCTCTTTGAAGAACTGAGGTCAGCAGGAGAGCGCTAGAAGCTATCATTCATTCTTTAAGTGGTACTTTGTGGGCCTTGCCAACAGTTCACCTGAAAAATCACAAGTTTGCATAGAGAAATACTGCAAGGAGCTAGGCACTATTCTAGTCTCTCTTTGCAGGGATATTATACCTGAAGGGTGGAAAACTCTCAAAAATAATGTAATTTCACATGTTTCAGTAGCATGCTGTGCCCTGAATTTATAATATAGGGAGAGGATGCTTTGGTATAGTGATGAAGGGTCCAGGATATGTGTGCGGGGGGGTATGACACTTGCTAGCTCAGTTTCCTGGGTTCTATTCCTGGCCTCTAGATTTGATCAATAATAGCAACACTTGGCCAAATAGTTCCAGAAAATTAAATTTGACACACTCCATTTGAGGGGTTTTTTGAGCCAACTGAGTTTTGAAATTACAGATACTGAAGCACCTTCTGAGTTTCCCTCCTTTCTCCACCCTAAAAAGAAAGGAGGGGAAAAAAGCCTTGGGAAGCTCAACTTGCTAAACTGTTAGTAAAGACTTGCAATTAAAAGTTCCAGAATTGGAAATGCCAGAGCTAAGGCTGAATGCGCAGCCTTCATCCTATAACCAGCAAGGTCTGTGTTAACGTGTTACAGTCTGTTGCTGCCTTTCGTGATCTCTGGAATAGTTGTCAGCATTTCTGCTCCTTGTGCCTTTACAGCGTGATCCAAAGTCAGGTTTAGGTTCCTCTGTATGGGCAACAGAGCTCTCCCACTTGGTCCCAGGATGGGTCTGATTCATGAACCTGTCTCAGCTCGTTCTCTGCAGAGTGAGGTGGACCATACTAGTTAGTGCTGCATTTTAGGTGCAAAGGAATTGGGCTGTACCGAAAGGAGCCTAAGCTATAACTTGTGTCTACTCTCGTTGCAGGGCGACGATGGGCCAGATGTTCGTGGGGGGTCCGGGGATATCTTGCTAGTACATGCAACTGAGACTGACCGGAAAGGTACTGTGTGTGGATTGGTGTAAGCTGAGGGGCGTGGGCAGCCTGGTGTGGCACACTTCTGGGAACCCGGTGAAGCTCAGCAGTGTATAAACTATTGTGTTATGTCATTATATGCAGATATGGACAAGACAGAGCACTGCCTTAATGTGCCTTATTGCAAAGGGGACTATGCTTATCTTTGAGAAAGAGATAAGCCAGATAAGCTCTTGTACATTCAATTCCATGGCAGTGAGGTTTTTAACCCTTCTGTGCCCAGAGACGAAAAACTGTAGGGCAAAGCCTGGTGATACAGCTAGTGCCTGCCTTCCCATGGCATCTCTTTGCCTGCTGAGGAATCCCATTGGGCTGGAGAAGAATAATTGTTATTGAGGGCACAGTGCTCCATGGACTGAATTTTCAGAGTCTAGCATGCACTGTCTTATGCCGCTGCCTTCAGTTCTACATTGGGATGGAGTGAATTTAGTAGTGGGAAGTAAAGGAAGTGGTGTCACTGGGGTGAGCCAGGCACAGCGTGTGTGGGCACTGGGCAGTGCTTCCCTGTACCATTTGCCTGGTGCAGACCAGTTTTGACCTGCAACACCACTTCCTGTTCCAGCCCTGAGGCTCTGGCACTGCCAGCCCCTTCCCACGCAACTGTTCTTTGTCACGCACAAGAGCAGCAGGCTGGAAGGAGACTTTCTTCTCTTTATTCAGGTTCCTAGAACTGCATATCTGTGATCCTGTATGAAAAGATTTAAGAGATTAAGCCTTAACCATCCTATTTGCTACACAAATTATAATGGTTCGTTAATTAATTCTCCAATCCCAGCCCAGCCACACAGAGGGCAGCACTTCTTCCAGACCTGTAACTAGAGTACACTTTTCAGCACTGCTGGAGATGACATCTAAATGCTCTTTTGTTGATGGTCTCAATCAACTGGTCGTCTAGCCAGTGCACCAACCCAATGGACTGCTCAGCCCTCTTACCAAAAGCCTTAATCCTTGTCCATTTTGAACGGACCTCTTTTCTCTACTATACCAGTAAGCATTTGTGTCTGTTGACCAGCCCATGGCAACAAGTGTAGTGAACCTTCTCCCTCTAGAAGCATTCCCCTTATTTTGTAGAGCAGAGGAAAACAATGGAAAAGTGGAATGGATTGCTTATGGGCTCCATCTTAGCCCTGCTCTTCCTTGGAGCTAGAGGAATAGCCTCTTTCACAGCATTTCCATTTTTCAGAGAGTTAATTTCTAGAGGGATGCATCTAGGAGGTGAAAATGGAGAAACCTGAAGGAACCACATGCATTGGTGAGGGCTCCAGGGAGCCTGATAATACACAAACTTGCACATGATAAAAGTAGGCAGCAACATCATCTCCTAATAGCAGTTGTCTCAAGTGTGGGGAAAGGACAGATGCGTGCAGTTTATTTATTGTAAGAATCATCAGACCTCACCCCCCTGTGCTGTGCCAAGCTGGTGGCAGAGAGGAATTTGTGCTATGCCACCCTGGTGTTTGGGAGATGGAAAACGTTAACGACTTAAGCTTGCAATGAGAAGAATTCAGGGCTTGCAGATCAGTTGGCCCAGCTGCACAGAGGGGGATGTTTAAGAGGCTTTTCTTTAAAGATACATTTCTTGGCCAGCCTGAGTGGCAGAGCAGACCCAGCTGTATTACCTCCCATTGTCTCTTGGGCAGAGGACCCAGGATGAATACAGTGCCTTGCCCTAAGGAGCAGTGCTCCTCATCTGTTTCGGTGTCAGTACCAGAGCAAAGTGGAATAAGGGATGAGAGGACTCTCATGGTCTTTCGGAGTCCAGTCTGCAGCCAACTAAGTGCAGGCTTGCTGCACAGGGAGGATTACAGCCAAGCGAGGCACACTGCTCACCTCTGACATATGTACCCATCTGCCCTGCTTTAGAGTTTACATCTGATCATCTTTAATTAAAAGACAGTGGCTTTCCTCTGTTTTAGCAGCAGCTCTTTGGAGCTGTCTGTGTGAGACTTCTGCCAAGTGACACGCTGCAGACAGAAAAACCTGATTGTTGTACTTCATTCCCCCTGGGCCAAACATATTGAGGTTATTCACATGAACAAGTGACTGGGGCTGAAGTTTCTGGCTTGAGGCATGGCCTGCATTTGTGTAGTGTGGGCAGATGTGTAGAAGTCTCCCCGCACAGCTCTGCTAATGCGCCTCAGCTATGCCCCGCAGGAACCAGTCTTGACCCCCAGACCCAAATGGCTTTGCCAGCCTATGTCAGTTCTAACCTAAAACCTCTTTTTCCTGTTGCAGCCACTGTGAATCCAAAGACATTAGTGAGGCCAGCGTGGTTGTTTTGGCTGAGACCATCCAACTAATTTTGCCCATGTTTAAAGAAGGAAGGACTATTCACTGGGCTCACTGTTGAATCTCTTTCCCTCCCCGCTTCTTGCCCCCGCCAAATGAAAGGACATCACAGTCCACACTTCGCAGATCGGTTTCTCACCCTCATTTCTGGATACCTTTCCTGACCGTTTTTCTTTGACTTGCTTTTCCAGCATCTCCAACAAACTTCAGCTTCCCTGTCCTGCTCCCTGGAGCGTGGACAAAGCTGCTGTGGTGGTCCTTTTTGGCCAGTGCCCTTGGTGACCTGCCAGTGCATCCTAAGGATTAGTCTCTGACACCCTTTTGCCAGTGCTGGCAGTGACGGGAACTCTCTCTCTTGTTGGAAATAGTCCATCTTTCTGCATGCTGAACTTATAAGTAGTGAGTACAGTGAAGCCAGTAAGCAACTCTTTTCTTTAAAGTATCACCAGTCTGCAGAGCAGTGTTTGCAATCCTTGTTATTACAGACCCTTAAGATGGTAATTTAAAACCAGGCTCCCAGCATCACAGTTGGGAGTCAGAGCAAGCAGGTAAGGGGAATTGAATTGCTGTTAGGCGTAAAAATTCCCCTGCTGGTAAGAAATAAGAAAACAGTGTTCCCACAAAGCTGGATATCAATTTGCTTTTATAGAAATTTTCCTACTCGTTACCTATTTATTTCCCCTTGATAAAGACGCTGGGTTCACGACAGAGAATGCTCCCTTCTGAACCCAGAGTTGACTGAGGTGTTATTGTCTTTCCCTTCAGATCTGGTGCTGTACTGCGAAGCGTTTTTGACAACCTACAGGACATTCATTACCCCTGAAGAGCTCATCAAGAAGCTGCAGTACAGATATCCTTTCAAATGTGGGATGCTCCTGACCCCTCCTGAGTTGGGAGCAGTGTGCCTGACACTTCAAAGAGAAGGGTGGGGGCAAGACTTAATCAGAGCCATGCTGGCAAGGCAATGTGTCAGATATTCACCCCTGTGGGTGGTATGCAGCTTGTTGACTCCTTATTTAAAGCCTTATTTCTTCACCTCTGCCTTCCACCAGCCTGTGGTTATAAATCAAGGCCAAGTGGTTTATCATTCACTGGAGCTGGGCTCAGAGTGGGGTTCTGATCCTAGCTCTGAGTCGCTGCATCATTTTGAGCTCATCAGTCACCATCTGTGCCTCAGCTCCCATCCTGCGGAATGTAACCACAATAATGACTTGCCTTCCTAGAGATGTTGTGAGGGTTCATTGTACCTCTGTGAGCAGCTCTAAGGAGGATTGCTCAGGCCTGTCACTATTTCCACCACTCTCTCACTACCAAGAAGGGCAGAATGCAAGAGAACGTCCCCTTTGTGTTCTAGTTCCAAGATGTGAGGCTGATTCCGGGTACTGTATCTATGGCCCTTTACCTACTAGAAGGTAGGCCGGCAGTCATGTTTGCTGCCATGTCCACAGAGTGTTCCCTGTTGAGCACTGAAGACTAGAATTCCCTTCCCTTGGCTTCTTTCCCATAACTTCTGTCTTTGCCACCAGCTCCGAGCTACGACACTTTGCAACAGAGGCAGTGAAAACGCCTTGCGGGTTTCCGTCTTGTAGCTCTGCATCCAAGCAGCCTGTCAAGCTTCCTGGAGTTGCGGCTCATTGCTGCCATCTGCAGCAGAGACGATATTCCGTCTGCTCCTGCTGTGATTACTGTTAATTGGACACAGAAAACCTCTCCTTATGCTGTAGTCAGCAGTGAAAATACCCACTCTGGGGAAGTGCTGGGCACAGGTAGCCAGAGCTTGGAGTTCTGGGCTCCATATCTCTCCCTCTGTCTGCTTTAATTAGTTTATGTTTAGATCCTTGCCGCATCCTTGCATGTTGGAAATCTTCTCGACCCATGCTGGCCCTCGAGGTATTTCCCTAGTAGTAATCACTACAGCCATTGTTCTTCAAGCTGCAAACTAGGAGGTCTGCACGCCATATCCGTTATCCTTAGCAACTGATGGAGTGAGTGCATATTTTATGGAAGTGCTGCTTGCTGAGGGAATGAGAGACAAGGATCGGGACTTGAGAGCTGCTGTTACAAGTGAGACCAGATGCTGCAGTTAGCTGAAGGGCTGTGATAGTGCTAGCACTCTGACAGCTTATTTAATTGTCACCTTAGAAGTAACGGTTTCAGGGCACATCATCTCCGCCATCTATTACTGCAACCACAAGACCCTTTCTCATATTTGCAGACTGTATTACTCGGTACAGGGCCTTGTTAGTGTTTCTCTCTCAGAAATTGAACACTGCCCTCAGTCGTGGCAGATCATAATGCTCCTTTGGGGACACGCATCAGGGCACGTATCAAAGGTGCCACCAGTGGCCCTGGCTCTACTGAGTTTATTCTTTAACTCATGACTGACGTATGAGAAATTCTGTCACTTCCCAGACACGTTTAAGAAGCGCGTCAGCAAGAACACGTTCTTCGTGCTGGTGCGAGTGGTGGATGAGCTGTGGTGAGCATCCCTCTTGCTTTGTTTTGGGGTGGTTGACAGAGGTAGCAGGACTAGAGCTGTGCCACTTCTACATGCCGCATCATGTATATCAGATCTGTGGTGGGAGACCTGAAATGGCCTTCCCCAGTTCTGTGCTGGCCATGGGGCACCTTCACTGGGACTTTAATGTGTCAAGGTGTTTTCTCAGTGTCTCTTTCTGACTTAAAAATAAGCAATAAAATAGGTATCTTTTAAAGGAAGAAGAGCTGACAAGAGGAGGAGCATGTGTGACGGGTTCCATTCTGCTTGTGGGCAAAGCTGTTGGACAGTGTACTGAGCTAACAGCCTTGTAGGCCAGAGTCCAAGGGAGAGATTTTTAAGAACACCTCTCATTGTACCTCTCTCTGCCTTAGCTGTGGGCTTATTTTGCTGCCATGCAGGAGTCCTAGGCTTGATACTGGCTCAGGACTTTGGTCCCTTGTGGAGAGACTGGGGCAGGGGAGAAAAAGGTGAGGTGAAGCAGGTTGTACATCATGAGAGACCACTGAGCAATGCCCAGCAAGTGGGCTGTAGGAGCTCCAGTCTCCAAAAGGAGTCTGGTTCATATAGCAGTATCGTGAGTGAAGGTGGACAACATGTCTAGCCTGCCAGTGAAAATGTCAAGGACAGCTTCTCAGAACTGTGGGTGTGGGGAAGCTTAGCATGCTGAATGGAAAGACCAAGCTATTATAAGGAGTCCATTTTGGGGAGGCACAGCAGATGTTGATCATTTTATTCTTAAACGTCAATACAGATTTCTGATTTTTCTCATTGATGAAAGGTAGCAAGCATTTATTACAGCAAGTAGATAAGAGGATTGTTGTCTGCAGCGCCCTGTGTCTGACCCACCCCCTACGTTTCCCATCTTTCTCAGTTTAGTGGAGTTGACAGAAGAAATTCTGAAGCTGCTGATGGAACTGGTGTTCCGGTTAGTCTGCAACGGGGAGCTCAGCCTCGCTAGGGTGTTACGAAAAAATATTCTGGACAAGGTCGACCAGAAGAAAATGCTGAGATACGCCAACTCCATCAAACCCCTCGCGGCCAGAGGGGTGGCTGCCAGGTGAGACAGTGTTTGAGTCCCGTTGCAGCCCTCTCTGAGGGGTGACTGTCCTCATGCTGCACGTAGGACAGGGCAAAATCAGTGTCATGCTCTGAACAGGAGCAACAGGAATGTTGCTCCTCATTTCAGCGCAGTGACCAATCTTCACCTACCTGTGCCTGCCCAGCCCCTCACACATATGTACTCTTTCCATCCAGTCTTGGTTTCCTAGGCATGCCCTGAATTTGCCTGCCTGATTTGGGAGCTGTTGGTGAAACCTGCACTCAAAGATTGAGCTCCTGGTCAGGAGCTATGTGAACACTATCTGTATGGCAGTGAAATAACCTGAGCCTTCAGCAAATGAAGAGGGACGTGTCTGTCCTTCTTCGGTTGTGCAAGGGGAGAGGGCACAAGTCAGAATTCTCACACAGATGGATGGAAGGAGGCATGAGTGTGGCATATTGCAAGTTCTTGCAGCAAAGCCTAGGAGGCCAAAATGCAACAGGCCCATTGGCTTCCTCAGGCAGGGGGATGTTTCACGCATCTGCCTTGACCCAGGCAGTGACCTGTCATGTTGAATTTCAGGCCCTGTGGCATCATGTAAATGGTCTCCCAACTCCAAATGCTGGAGAGCAAAATTTGTCCGGCTCCTTGTAGCTGAGGAGAGGAGCAAACAGCATGTTCTTGGCTCTGTTTGAGGAGCAGAAGGGCTTGCATGCAGAATTCCCTGAAAGGACAGGGGTCCTGAGATTTTACAGCTGCAGGATAAAGGGAAGTGGAAAGGGTGCAGTAAATATGATGACATGGAAACCTACTGTTCATAGGGAAGTCGTGCTACTGGCTGTGTGCACTCAGGATAGTAGTGCTCCTCTCCTCTGCAGGGATGATCTTTTATAAAAAGTCTAGTCCATTTCCAGTGTGGAAATGTGGCTGTTTTTGGGGACACACTCATGTGCAGGTGATTTAACACAGAGGAGGTCTGGTCACTCTCATACTTGATTTCTCTCTGTTCCATTGACTTCCCTGACAGGGAATGAAAGCTCACTAAAGCAAATGATATAAAGGATCCAAGGTGAATCAGGGTTTCATTAGTTATTACCTTTCACTCATTGTCTTCCACAGGCCAGGAACCCTACATGATTTCCATAGTCATGAAATAGCTGAGCAGCTGACTCTCCTGGATGCCGAGCTCTTCTATAAAATAGAGGTACAGAGAGGAGGGATTGGGGCAGTGGGA